ATTAGAATAAAAAGTAACTTTATTATAATGTCTTTTCAATTCTAATTATGATAAAAAAAAGAAAAAATACTTTTTTAATATTTTTTAATTTTAAATTTTAAATTTAATTCCATCATAATAATCATTATATTAGAAATAAAATGTCGTGTTATTCAGAAACTTGTTTTTTCAATTAAGAATTTTTTTTAATATTAATTTTTGTGTTTTTAATGTGTTAAAGTGACATTCCATTAAAAAATGAATTATTTTATATATAATTTATTTTTTACATAAATACAAATTTTTATTAATATCAAAATTTAAATTACATTATTTTAAGATAATATATTTAGAATACTCTATATCATACATATTTTTAGATTATACGCTAATTAAATAAAATTTTGAAATTATATTAAATGTAACTTTAGAAAAAAAAGACGTATAAAAGTATGATCGAAAACTCGATCATAAATATCAAACATAAAAATACGAGAAAAGCCGAAGAAAGAAAATACAATTGTATGTATTTCCATTGGATGTGTTTCATCGGTGTAAATCGTGGTATATGGGTTTCTAGATTCCTACAACCGCCAATTCCAGAAGCAACACACGATACACGATTCTTCTAGGGCTATATTAGAAAAGCCTGGTACGAAACTGTGATTGGAGATTGCAGGAGTCACGAGAACTGACCTCCTATATAATTTCTCGGCTGGTTACCGATTGGTTGTCGTCTTTTGCGGTATGAGATACGAACGAGACGATTTCCGTTTCCTCTGTGTCTCCGCATAACATTTATTGCTCTCTTTTTATATCTATTGGGAGCAAAGAACAAAATAATATCTTGGAAACAGATCCTGGATCGTTTTAAAATAAAATATAATTACATATATTTTTGAAGTAAATTTTGTAATAAATATATTTGTTAGATTTTTTATAATATAAGTATAAATTTATAATATATGTAATTTTTTTACTTGTATATTTTAAAATGTTAATTTTAATTTTTGCTTTTGATTCTAGTGAAAAAAAAGTAAATCTATGAAATATTTAAAAATTTAAAATTAATTGCAAGTTAAATAATAAAATTTATCATTTGAAATTTTATAAAAATGTTCTGTATGAAATATTATAAAAATAAAAATTTACATTGTACAGTGTACAGTCACGTATATAATTCAATTTCCATAGATCTAATTGTAGTAATATTGTTTAATTGTTCATGTATGTGTATATATAGTATAATATTATAATACATAAATCATAAATAAATCTTTTAGCATAATCATTTTTTGAAGTAACATATAAGATGATTCTCGTAACATATTATTTCAAATAACATCGTGAATTATTCACTAGTATAATATTCATTTATTACATTAACTTTTATTATGATATAAAGACAATGTTTTTTTTATAAAGTCAGAAATTCCTACTATTAATAATTTTAACTGCTATAATAATTTTCTTTAATTATTTATTTCAAATTTCTTTATTTATAATTATTTCTACTATTTTTTGTTACAATGAAAATGAATCATAAAATGTAATCATAAATTATTTTATTTAATCCTAGAATAAAATTTTTTTTTTAAAAGAATTTTTTGAAAAAAATCGATAATGTGGTTTTATGTTAGAAAGTAATTATGATATAATTATGATTTTTTATGATTATAAGCAAATAAATAATATATCGGATTTAATTAAAATTAATATTTAACTTTGGTGTGGAATATCCCCTAAGCATATTCATGTGTCATAATAATTCATCATTGACGTGAGATAAAATCTAATATATAGTATAGTTATATATAAAATTTTATCAGCTATATGTTTTTCAAAACTTGCATCAGTTTATATATTTATGAAACTCTATATTTTATTTACTTTTATTATATTTTTTTATTTTGTTTATTTTGTTTATTTTTTTGTGAAATAATTGGTAGCAATTATAATATGATTCGCAATATTTCGCAATATGCACAATCTTTTACTTCTTTGAACAAAATTATTTTTATTTATGACATATCCTAAAAAATAATAATTTAAATAGAGATATAGAGATATAAAGATCATATGAAAATCAATTTTAATTTTTTAAATGATATTATATAATTTTTATTGCATAATTAATGCAAATTATTATTTCTTATAAAAAAATACTAATTGTAAATAAGCTATGTAAAAAAAATTTTTAATTTGGAAGAACCTTGAACTTGTAAAAAACTTACCATATAAATAAGGAATACATGAAATGATATATTATGTATACTATTCATGTTCTCTTTATTTTTTATATAATAACTAATTTAATAAAATTTTATATGATTACTTTTATAAGTAATATGATGAACTAAAATATCTTTTAAATTAAAAATTTTTCGACGAAAATAGCTCAGTACTTTTTTGTATAATAAAAATTATTTCATTTAAAAAATTAAAAACAATAACATTCACTATTAATATTGCAAAACTTATATCAAATAACAAGTTTTAATCAACATTTTTGTATATCAATTTTTGTATTTGTTCCGTTTCTCGCAAATATATTATCTATATTAATTTCTTTTAGCAAATCTTAAATGAATATTTTTTTATATTTCTAATTTATAAATATAGTAAAAACTCTTAATTTTAAATGTCAAAATATGAAACATATTCTTCTAGTTTAGAATCTTATATTTTTTTTATTTAAAACTCTTTTTAAATAATCTATAAACTATTTTGTCTTTTTATATCAGTTTCTATTTTATTAACATATATAAATATTAATATCATATAAAAATAAGAACTGAATTCGAATTGTTATATATGGAAGAATATTATTTATGTATTAGTATATTTATAATATATTTATATAGTATACAGCATATTATTCTGTTTATTATTTAATTTTGAATTTATTTTTAATTATAAAAATATAATTCATGCTTGGTTGCACAAAAGATTCTATATTCTTCTTTTATATCGTGCATTGAATTCAATATTTATCATTATCTAAAAGTTTAAGCTTAAACTTTGTTACTAGCTTAAACTTTGTTAAAAATTCGTAATATTCAAAGTATAATTTTCTTTTCAACAATAAGTACCATCTGATGTTAAGCAGGATAAATGTCTCCTCGAATAATTTATATAAAAAAGTTTTATTTCAAAAATTGCATAACGTGAAAAAAGTTACAACTTAATGTTCTTTTCACAATAGATATATATATATATATAAAAGTTTTATTTTATATATATTTTATTTTTTATTTTTCTAATAATTTTTTTAAATAATCATCAATAATTTTTAATATATTAAAATCAATTTTAATTGTTAATCTTATATCGATTAATTCTTAAAAATAAATAAGAGAAGAATAATGATTAGATTAATTATAATTAGATTATTAAGAATAAATTTTAATTTCAAGTCGATATAACAATAATATTTATGCAATTATTAAATTGTAAGAAAAATGTAATCTACCAAACATAAATCTTTTTAAAAAGATCCGTACAGGATTATATTAAAAATAATATATCGACAATCCTTTTCAATTTTCATTTTCGAGACCGCATACAATCAATATTATTGATAGTACTTATCAAAATATTTGTCAATATTATTGATCATGTGCAGACCTTTTAAAAAAAAAAAATGCAGCGGAAATGTATTATCTATAGTGAAAGCCAATACGTACATAAGTACGTAAATACTTGTCTATGAAATATAGATATATATAATACGAGACACAACAATTCAATGATCTTTACTATATCTTTTAAGAATATCATCCATTTATTTCATTCTTATTATTTAAATTTACTGCATGATCTGAATGTTGAAGATTATAAGTTAAAAGTTAATGTAACAAGAAACTTATTTTGATGATAAAATTGATGATAAAATCGTACAAATTTTTTTATAGATCGAAAATATTGTTAAAAACATGTTAATTAAAAAAATACTATCAAAAAATGGTTTCTTTTCGAGAAATCAATAAAGATGAAAGGAAAGAAAGAAGAAATGGAGGAAAAAGAATGAAGAAATCTTTTTGTTCAAAATTAATTAATTTTATCATATATAAAATATATATAAAAATAAATTATGATAAACGAATATATATAATAAACTAGTGATTAGATATTAATTTCAAGCTAATTTAAAGCTAATTATACAATCGAAAGATAATATTATTAGAATATTAATTTCGTTATAATATTTCAAGGAATTAATAACAAGTTATGAATATTTACATTGTCTCGCTCAATATGTTAACAAAATATAATTTGAAACATGTTATCAAAGTCCTATTCATATATCTCTTACTCGATCTCGAATACATAACATAATTTCGATACTGTATATTATACTTTTAAGATTTAAATTTAGAATTAAATTAAGATAATTTTAAAATTTATTAGATTAGATTTAAGTATTTAATTCGAAATATATTTATATTGCATATATGTATATTATTTTTTTCTAATCTGAATTTTTGACAATTAAATTTTGTTAAAATTTAGTTTAATTTGATTAGATTGAAATTTAAATTTATCAAATATTAAATGTAATTTAATGTTGATAACATAGATTTATCTCGCAGATTATTAGTTAATTATTAATTAGCAATTATTAGTTAATTTTTATTTGGATTAAATTTGAAAGATATTTTAATTTTATTTACTCTATCCCTTGGATGCAAAGATTTCAAATCTACGAATTTTCTCTGTCCGTATAACAGATGACAATTAGACTCCAGACAGAGACAAAAGAGACAAAAGAGAAAATAGAATAGAAGAAAATAGAAATGTAAAATATTAATAATAAACGTTGATATAAATTATCTAAATTATTTAAGGTAAAAGAAATTAAATCAAATCCATTAAAAAAAAAGTTAATTATCAAATATAAAAAAGCATATCATATTCGCATTGATTTTACTAAATATGCTAAGAATTATTTTATTTTTATTAAAAAGGATATATTTTAAATACTATGATTTTCTTCGAAAATAAAATATAATGTATTTTACCTGAAGTTGATTTTGTTCAATTGTGGTACAACTTGATCTATGTTGTTGTTGAAATTTCGGTTGATATGGTTCTAACATTCTGATTTTTCCCCATCGATTGAAGAATAATGCAATTGCCGCAGCCCAAAGGAGGAGAACCAAAATAACTATCAAAGCCTCTTCTGCTCTGACTATGACTGCACCTATACCGCAATACCAAATAATATTATTTCTCATTATTTTAAATTTATTATATAAGTACAAATTGATAAAAAGAAATATAAATATAAAGTAATAAATTCATTAAAAATTAACAATCTAGCATAATTAACATACATTAAAAGTATTTTGAACTTTAATTATTTTGCATAATCTTTTTAATCCCTCAATGTAACACTCTAATCAAATAATAAAAGAATATTTTTAATAAAAATTTATATATATGATTTTTAATATATATAATTTATTAAAAAATTATGATAAATAAATGAGTGCATACTTTTGATTAGCTGTATACTATTGAACAGACAATTCAAAGCGTATATAGAGACTATGTTTATAGAGAGTATGCATTCGGATGGATCCGGAAATAATTAAACAAAATCGTTCAGACTTGAGCATATATTCGAAACATTTAAAAATCGTTGAATGTTTGGAATGTTTGAAAATTCGGGTATTCAATTATTTAAATCTTAATTTTGGAAAAAATTCGGATGAATTGGGATTGTTGAAAATGTCGAGTTCTTGGATAGTTAAGTATTACGGATATGCATTTGATTTTTTTCAATCCAATCGGATATTCATATATTCATAGGAAAATTCATTGATGAATCTGCTAATAGATCTTGAACAAAATGCTCTTTTTTCGTCTCTTCTAATTCTAATTTCTACCTCTTTCCAGCTCTACATTATTTTAATATTCTAAATAATCTATAAATATTTTGTAATTGTTTAATATTGATTTTAATATAGTTTTAAAAAGTTTTGAATATACTTAAATAGAATGCTAAATTTTAGAAGAATCTTTGGAGGATATATATAATTCTAATATATGGGAATAATATACATATAATCTATAACATATAACCTTGCTTCAGTTTTTTAATAGATTTTTTAATAGATTTTGGAGCTTTAATTTTTAAAGCTTAAAATATTCTTTCATAAAATCGCAATTTTGATAAATATGATAAAAAAAAGAATCTAAAATATACACATGATATCAAAATAAATAGAAAGCAAAAATTTTATAAATATATTACATAAGATGTTTGTATGTAATATATATACTTGTTATGTATATATATTTTGATATTTCTTTTAACAAAATTTTTTTTTAATTTGTATGGAATTTCATGAAATATAATAGATAACAAAAATGTATTATTTATAGCGTATGATTCAATCGATATGTTAGTAATTTCTCGAAAAAGAAAATATCAAAAGCTACATATCGATATATCGATGATATAAAACATTAATAAAAATTGCAAAATATGTTAGAGATATTAGAGATATTTAATTAATTATGTTACATATTATTTTCAATAAATAAAATGTAACACATATATAGAACGATCATATGTATAAATAAGTGAAGAAAGACAAATGTGAAATATATAATCATATTATTTAATCTACTTGAATTATTAATTGCAGTTTGATTTATTCAGAGAAAAATTTCAAAAATTACAATCTCAATATATAGATTAATATGTTAATATTCGTAGAACATCTTTGAAGATTATAGAGATCAAAATCAAAATTTATTTATTGAGTTGTTATAACCAATTGAATTTTGCGTTAGATGATAAAACGAGGTGGAAATAGAATATAATAAATTTATCCTACTTTTATCTAACTCAACTTTTAATTAATTTCAATTGCTTATACTTTATTATTTTTTATTATTACTTATCTTATAAAAAATTATCTTTGTATCAATTTTTAAAATCAAATCTTCAATGAACATATTAATACTCTGTATAAATATTCGATAAAATTTAAATATAATTTATTATGTATTTCGAACAATATAACAAGTACAAAGCTTTTACTGCGAATCTATAAAAAGATATTTTATCGTTTCCCTCATGTCAAATGCATGAATATACAAATTATAAAGAAACAAATATCTTATTTTTATTTTTAAATTTAAATGATAACAATAAAACGATTTTTTATAATGAGATTAAATTAAAAAAAAATGATGTCTTAAAAAATATTGATTTCAATAAATATCTTGAAATATTTTATATTTAAAATATGAATTTTTATGAATTATCAATTCTATTCTTTGATAAATAAAAAAAATTTCATGTTTTATTTGCGTGTGTCACGTGTATTGAATTTATCAATCATGATTAGATAAATACACAATGAACAGTTATAATCAGATATAGAACTGAAATAAAACAGACATGAAGAGATGCTAGTGAAGAGATGTGTAGCAAGTGAAATAAGCCAATTATGATTAGAGTAGTAAAATAGATTAACTATGATCTAGACAAATAGAAAAGATTAGATATAATCATAAGTGAGAAAAAATAAAAAATTTAATTAAATTTATATTAGATCAATGCAGCTGAAATGTTGCTATTGTGTCTAAGATGTATCATATTATTTATAAATAAAATAGCATATAATATTTTCATTATTCAATATATTTTCTTCGTTCATGAAATATAGTTGATGTGATTTTATTAATACTAATGTGATTTATTTAATACTTTGTTAGGATAAAAATGATCTACTTTACTTAAAAAAAAAAAAATTTATACATCATATTTTAATATAATTTTATCTGATAACAATCATCAACAAATTAGTCATTTGTATAATAAGTGCAATATTAAAACGATTAAAATAATCTTAAAAAAATTAAAATTCATATGAAATAATAAATAATAATTTAAATAAATGCAAACAGAAATTTGATATTTATTTTAAAATTTACAAGTGTTTCTATTGAACTTTATTCTTTGATTTTTTTTCATTTTCTTCCTTTATCATCATTCATTTTTCCACAATTTATCTATTATTCTTTCGTTTTGAAATGAAGATTTACTAAAAAATAAATTTTACAGAAGATTTCTCGAAATCAATTGCATTTTGTATGAAATGTTGGTCTACATTGTTCATCTTGTTCTATAATTGCTAATAAAAAGTTCCTGCACTTGAAGAAATATTTTCAAACGTTTACTTAAAATTGACTGCAATATTCATTAAAAAAAAAAAAAAAGTTTTAAAGAAGGAGAAAAATAATTGCTGAAGAAAGATAAAAATTATGATTAAAAATGCTTACTTTTCTAAAAGTAATATTATTATTTATAATAGTCTGCATAAATTATTTAATAACTTGGTTGATTGGTTATTTGTAGAAAAGAATTGTGAAATACCAAGATTTTTGTTATATCTTGGAATAAAAAAATTAAAATTTTAAAGAAGTATATAATATAGTATAGAACTTAATAAAAGAAAATTATTTTTGTGAAATTTTAAGATAATTAAGAATTGATAATTTAATAAAGTTAAATTTGTAGAATTTGAATAATTGTTATTTAATATCAGTATATATTCATACAATTAATAAATTATTAATAAATTTTTAAATCTAAATTAATAATAATAATGTTAGTAAAAATATATTTACTTATTAGAATAGAATATTGTTATTTAAATTTTATTGTTTGACATATCAAAATAAAATAATTGATTTATTTCTCTGGATTTCATATATTTAACATATGTATCTTTGTATTCTATTTAATTCTTCAGAATTTTAAAAATTTTTTTGCGAAAAAAAATAAAAAAAAGGATAAATGAATAGTTTTTAATCTAATTTTATTTGTTAACAAATTAAAAGTACGGATAAAAATATTTTTCAAGATTCTTAATAATATATACACATATATATTACAACCATGTAAAAATATTTTATAAATAGTATGTTTATATATAAAAATTGCCAAAGTTTATATATAAAAATTTTTTATCGTACTAAATAAATTAGAAATGGTATTATAAATTTATTATAAAATTATTAATAAAAATAGTTAATAGTTATTAGTAGTTAATAAATATTAAATGTACTAAAAATACGAAAAATGTTGAAAATTATAACTGATTATCATTTTTAGCCAACATGTTTTAGCCATATTATTTGTAGAATATATATTTTATATAAAATTTTTATATTTATTATTTAAAAAAAAAAATAGTAATATTTAGTATGAGAAAAGTGAAAACTTAGAATTATAAATCAGTTGATACTTTCTTCTATGAATATAAATATAATGTGTTAAATATTTTAAATCTGATTCTCATTTAAATATCATAAATTTACAAATTTCTGCTATTTATAAAATATTGATTGAAATCTTCGAATATCATTTAGATACCTTATAAAGAATTTCAGATACGTATACATAAAAATTTTATTTTAGTTATTATAATTCATTTAAGAATTTTGAAAAGTCATTAAAATTATACATAAATGGTCCACATATGTATATTTTAAACATAACATTAAAAACAAAGAAGAAATTTAATAATCTCAGAGACATCCTATGTATATATATATATATGTATAGCATTTATAAATTAAATAATATTTGTTTTGTTATCATTTATAAGTTAAATATTATATATATATATATTATATTATATTATAATAAATAATATTTATTATAATATCGATTTGAATAAATTTGAATATTTTTATAAAAATATCCAAATATTTCTTATCACTTCCAAGTTGACTTTAGCATATGTTACAATGATTTTTGTCCCAATATCTGTTTATTCTAATTATGTAATGTTAAATGATATAATGTTAAATGATATGCAACCAAATATTCTAACAAACAAGAAATGTGGCAAAGGACTCGTACATTATGCACATACAATAAGAGCTACTTACTCAATAGAATCTGCCTGAATCAATGAATACGATGTGCTCAGCCAATTTAGGCTACCTCCATTGACGCGTTCTATAGATAACCTATACATGACGCGTTGTATACATAAACCTAATATTATATTATAGTAGATATATAAAATGTTCCAAAGGAAACAACATAAGTAAAAAAAAAAAAAAAAAAATTTTAATAAATGAACTTTAGTAATTCTAATATTTCTGGAATTTTGTAGGTTTGTAGTAAAAATTAGATAATTCTTTAGATCATAATTTAATATCTAGCATAAAAACATTCCTTAAAAATAGAGTTGTATCTTTCTAATTACATAGTATATATTAAGTAAAATGAAATGTAGGGATGAAATTTTTTTATTATATTTGTGATATCTAATAGTGAATAAAAATTGCCTAATATATTATAATAATATTTAAAATCTGAATTTGATTAATTAATAAATATCAAAAATTATTTATAAATTATTATTTATATAATTTTATAATAATATTGAAAACTTATTAATTATATAGACTGTTAATATTTGTAAATTTTAGAGATAAAAAACAAGCACAAAAATGTCAATGAAGCTTTTATTTATTTAATTATAAGCAGTTTAAGTTTTCGTTAGATGAAACAAGACAAATAAAATGAAATAGCTTATTTTCTATTTGCTTCTCATTTCATCTAATGTAATATAATTTAAATCTCATAAATAATTATATATTAATAAATCTAATAAATAAGTATTATAAATATATTTCATTTGATATTTTAGTATGCGATTTTTATTTTTTGGCATTTAGAATTAGCTCTTTAAAGATGATTCACAAAAATATATTAATATTATATATATATATATATATATATATATATATAAGATATATATTATCGTACTTTTATTCGTATAGAATGAATAAAATAATTAGATTATCTGGAATATCTTTGTTTTTTTCGATATTAAAGAACATTTCGAGTAAAATTTGATTGATTTTAAGAATGTGCATATTCTAATATTATTAATTTTTTTAGATGGAATCATATAATTTTTAATACATTAATTGATGCAATCTGTTATTTTCTATAAGAAACTATCTATTAAAAAATGATTAGATTAGAAGATATTTAATAACCTAAATTTTATAAAATTTATTATATATTATACATATTTATATTATTTTATTATATAATTTATTATATAATAAAGGCAAAATTTTTATTTATACTTTTCTTGTCTTTCATACATCAAATTTTATAAAAATAAATATCTTGTAACTAATAATTTTTTGTCGTACATGGATTAATACTTTATTATAGAAAATATTGAAAGAATGTTAATCGATGAATCTATTAAAAAATATATGATTCAATTTAAAGAATTGAATTTCATATGTTCGTTATTTTTAAACTTTTTTATTTTATTTCACGTACAGAAAAAATTTATTTCTAGTGATGAAATTATTTTTTATTATTTATTTATTCTCTTTATATACAATTTAATCCAGCAATAAAACTTGTTTAGTTTATTTTTCTATGTTAAATATTGTTTTTTCAAATTATGATGGCATATTAGATATCATTTATTATATTCTATGTAATTATATTCTATATAATTATATTAATGTAATTGCACATTTGAAGCATGAAAAAAATTTTAAGAAAATTCATTTAATATTTTCATATATTTTTTAAACTAAAAAATTAACTTTTCAAAACAGAATGTATATTTTGCATTTATAATTTTTAGTATTTCATGACATGAAAGATCCCAAATTATGCCATTGCAAGATTAATAATGTTGATAATTTTTATGCACGTAAGAATTTGATTAAAATTTAATTAAAAAAAATAACAAAAATTTATAGCAATGGAAGCGAACTACAATACAAATTAAAGTTTTTGTAAACATTTTTAAGAAAAGTTTATAAAACTAATTTTCAAGAAAAGTTTACGTATAAAAAGAAAAGTTTCAAATTTTACAGCGTTATATTTTTAAATGCAAGAAATTTAATTTGAAATGAAGCATCAATGTTATGGTGTTGGGTTAATGATTAAAAGTTTTTCAAACTTTATCTTAAAATAAATTCGACCATGTTTTTTCAATAACTGTTTAAATCTATAAAGTTAAATAGTTAAAAAAAGTTGAATAATGTTTTTTTATTGATTGATTCTGAATGATCGACAATTTACATTAAATATACATATGATATTTATGTAATTACATTTGTAGAATTATTTTAATAATAATCAGTCGCTGCTTCATAACAATTAATTATAATAATTTTTATTTTACAATGTTAATAGAGATTTTTAAATTTTTACATTAATTATTTTTATTTGATATAACAATTAAAAAGTAGTATTCACACCTGCAGTATTAATATTAATAATGATATTGATAGATGAAAGCTAATAGATAAGTGTTTGTAGAATGCCCTTCGATAGATGTCGTAACAAGTGATATATTTCTCAAATATAAGTAGACTGTATTTGCAGTTAGAAGTATGATGTCTATAAGAGAATTAGATTTCTTTCAATATCATAGCACATCGTATCCGACGGTCAGATGCGTAATTACAAAGAAATTATCTAATTATCATATCCGGCGATCAGAATACGACCTCTCCACAATGAGACTTTCTTTAATGAAGCTTGTGCTCTTAAAAAATTCCTTCCTAATTTAAGGAGGATCTCAAGTTTCCGGTGGGGCACGATAATAACGAATAATCGCAGTTAGTGCTTGGTTTGCGACACTCTCAAGTTAGAGAAAAATTTCTCGAACTAGATATATATATATATTAATGATAATTACATATGAATACACACACATATATTATTCTGCTGCATTTACAAAAGAGACTCAAATTATATGATTCAGCTAAATACTATTTATTTAGTATTTATTATTTATTTATTTATTATTTAGCAAACCAAGCTTTCATTTTAAAGGAAGAAATTTAATGTAATAAGAAATAGTAAAATCTTGTTCATTTTGCTCATTAGCATACTGATTTTAAAAGTTTTTAAGAGTATCAGTTTTAATAGATATATGTAAAAGATTGAAATACAATAGAAATATGAGATATCAAGGTTTTATACATTGACATATTTGACAATTAATGTAAATTCAATTCTTTTTTCTTAAGTTTTTATTATTTTTTATTTTTTGGTTATAAAGTGAAATAAATTCTTTCTATTTTAATAGGCAAATTTATTTTGAAATAATTTTTCAAGTTATTTTCTATTTATCTATTATATCAACTGCATTTAAAATATATTATATATTATATTTTATATAATATATAATAATAATATATATATTTATAAAAATGTGAATAATATGAAAAAATATTTTAAAAATTATATATATGATAAAAAGATTGATTTTTAATATATGACATCGATTTTTATTTGATTTTGCGATAACAAACTTCTTATAGATTTTTTAGATATTTATTATTACTATTTGAATACATTATATACATGTTTTGAATGAAAAAAAAAAAATATATATTTTTTTGATAAAATAATATCCCATGTATAACATTTGAAATCTTCAAGCATTAAATAATATAAAAAATATTATAAAAAAGTATCCTATTTTCAAGTTTTATGATTATGTTTTTAAATTAACATATATAATTAATTACTTCAAATCATTACTTCAAATCATATTTCTTTATTTTTTTATTTTTATATCATTCTATTTCTTGAATGATCAATATTTCTTATTCTTATTCTTAATAACAAATCTCTTTCTAAATTTTTTATATTAAATATTAAATATTAATATTTTAATAAATGAGTAAATAAAAATTATTTTATTTGATTTCTTATTTGATTTCCATATCAATATTTGATTCTTAATTTATAATCAGCTTAAAAATATTTAATTTTATTCAATCTATAATCAATTCACAGATATTTAATTTCCAATTCTCAATCAGATCATAAATATTTAATTTCAAAATATTTATAATCATTCCTTTTAAGATTTTTTGCGCAATATGCCTCAAATTATTTATGAAAATGAGAATTGATGAGATGTCTGTTTGATCAAAACATGGTGAATCGATAAAAACTAGAAAAAATCGTATCATAGTGAAATTTAAAGGTTCAATTGTTCCTTCAATCTTTTCGAATTCTTTGGTTTGAAATAGGGAGATGAATTGTGAACCATCCATGACTTTCAAATTACAGGCAACGAGAGTTATCAATCTTTTGTGAGATTTTTCAACTCACCATCCGGATAGGTCGAATTAATTTTACTGGTGACGTTCAATTCGGATGGCATCGATCCAACGAAGATCATGTCGTCTGGAGCTTCCTCCAGCTCCAGTTCGATTTTTGTTACGTGCCCTAAACAAATGAAAACAAAATAATATATTATGATTAGAGATTTTTAAAAAGAAAATGTGACAGAAAGATTTATAAAACAGAGTTTCTTTGTGTAATAAAAGTTGTGATGATTATTTAGAAATATTAGATTATTTAGAAATATAATCTCTTCACCGATTGTTCTTGAAATATATTGTCAAGCTCATCATTTTGAATAATGCATGTTATTACCATTCAGTCTTAGTTTTCGACATATTTACAAAAAATTGAATATTTTTAATAGATTTAGATTTATTATTAGATTTATAAATGATTATTATATTTTTTATAATAAATATGTTATTGCTATGTTATATTTAGATAGTTGACACGTGATTTTTTCCAGAGTTAGAAATTTAAGAAATTTAATTATAATGAAGTTATACATATGTATTTTTAAATATATGTAATAGTTAAATTAATATTTTAATAAATTTTTAATTAAATAAAAAATAATTAATATTATGATAAATTATATAAATAAATTATCATAAATGAAATCTATCTTAATCTAATCTATAATTAATTAATTTTTTTTTTATTGTTTAAGCTATATAGGAATGCGGTTATCATTAGACAACAAAGCATTTATAAATCATTATTAAAATTATACATAGTGCAAAAATATTATTAAAATAATAGATATATAATAATATTAATATTATTAAGAAATTAAATAAATTTAATAATGATTTTTTATTTTCTATTTTACAAATTAAAAAAATATCGTTTTTATTAAATATTATCGTTTATTAAATATAACGTTTATTTAATAACGATATAAATATCGTTTATTAAATATCTATTTGAATTAAAATGTGATAAAAAATGTAAAATATAAAAGTTTCTTTTTTTATTTATATAATAAAAAATAATAAAAATAATATATTTCTATTTCTATTCTTTTTAAAGAAAGAAATTGATCATTAAAATCACTTTAAACACATCTAACAAATCATAAATAGATATGTTATGCTGTTATTATATTTCTCTCTCTTTGAAGTTATGAAACTTTTGCACTCAACATTTTCAAAAATACGTTGTTTTCCAGATATACGCACATATAAAACTTCAAGAATGTTTATCACAAAATATTTAACGATACAAATTTTAAAGATCTAGAAATACGAAAAAAAAACAATATTTATATAAATGAATAGCATAAATCTTGCATCGATTATGAGATATTATCATGTATAAGATATTTGTCATACATGAAGCATTCTTGTAATTAACTATGTTATTTATTTTAATTCTTTCGCAGCAATGAAATCGATCATTATATTGATGAATTATCGTGCTGTAAGAATTATTGTCTTATATTTTCATATACTATTAGTTACTATTATATTATATTACTAATTATGCTTACAATTAATAAAAAAGAATCATTATTTAAAATGAAATAATAATATTATTAATAATTGAAATCCAATTATATACATTTAATATTGATGATAAAAATATGATAAAAAAAAATTTTGATATTATTTTGAATATTAGATAGATTAGATAAAAATAGTGTTGAGTTGATAATTGAGAATCTTTTTAATTTTTTAAAAATTAATCCAATAATAAATCTTTATTTTTCAATTATTTATTAAAAATTATGCTTTGCTATGATACGATAGCACTTGTAGAAAACGCTAATTTGCTTATGATATAAATGGCGTTAATCTTTATAGATCATCTTTTGAATATATATATATATATATATATATATATATATAGCTAAATGCGAAAACATTAATAATGCGAAAAGATTAAATTATTATTTTTTATCTATTCTTATATTTTAAATTATTTTTTTTACATTTTTACATTATCGTTTCATTATATGAGCTAATATGATTGTATATTTTTTCTTGTTTTTTTACTTGAAAACATTGAAAATATAAAAATATAAATATATAATCAGACGATTATATGAAAAATCACTTGTCTGTATCTTAAGCTCTATTTATATTGGACAATTCTTGTTCAAAAAATGAAATTGATCGATAAAAAATAAGTAAATGGGCTATTTTTGATTGAATGTTTCAACAACTTGATAACAATTATCTTTATATGGATTAATAATTTAAAATTGATTAACAATTATTCAGCTAAAAGATGCTTAATGTAAAAATAGTTTTAAAGAGATCACGTTTAACTACTATTAATTAAATTTTAAATAAAGAAATAATAATACTATACTTAATTAGTAATTATATCTATGAAATAAAATATATATAGATTGATTATTAAAAAAATTCAACTTTTTTATATTTTTTATCTTTATTTTTTAAATATATTCAAAAAAAAATTATTAATATATGAATTATTGGTATATCTTACTTTGTTATTTTTAGTTCCAATTTATTCATCTCAGAGAATGAGAAATATAAATAAATTCTCAAACGATTTGTTGTTTTTTAATTTTTGACAATATATAAACATATATTGAAGTATATTTGATGATCAATAGAAATTAAAACAAACACAAAATTATACAAAAATTAATCGATTAATTATTTATGAAGCTAAACAATTACTTATTTATTAAGCTAAACCATTTAAATTAGCGTTGAAACGAGACAAAGTTAGAATGACATATCTATCTAATATCTACTTCTAATACAGAAGCTTCAGTTGATCAATTTTTGTAATTTCTTTATTTGTTTTGTTCCTTTATAATCAACTAAAATAATAATAAGATAATTTTAAATTTTCATATTTATATTTGCTCTATATCTTTTTTTATTGATATAAATATTAATATTTAAATAAAATAAAATAAATTAAAATATAATAAATATATTATGTTTATAATTTTTTATATAAAATAGCTTTAATCACTTTTCGATTATTAATTTTCACGAATCATTATCATTAATTTGATTTAATTTTTATATTTTTTATAACATAATACCATAAATAATATAATCGCTAAATGTTAAAAATATTAGAATTATATTGGTATGAATAAATTGGTACTATATATCAAAATAGATTTACAATTATCATAATGATTTAAATGATATTCAATGATAATCAGTAACCTGAATGACTTCAATTAGTGATTGAATTGATAACAGTCAATAATAGTCACTTTTAATTTAGTGCATAATCAATTATGAAAGACTTCATTAATTTTAGATAATAATATAGTACTCGATAATATTAATATAATAATATATATAATATAATAATTAATTTAAATAATATTAATATAATAATTAATTTAAATAATTTCATACAAATATAAATATAATATATGAACTGACAATAAAAGAATCACATATTAAATTTGAAAAAAAAAACGTAATTAGCTAAAACATAAATAAAGAATATTATATTATATTTGTAATATATTTATTTTCTTCAATTATATCATTTTTATGTAAATATATATTTTTTACATTACATATATTTTGCATATTTCATATGAATAATATAAATATGAATGTTCAAAATTTTAAAGAATGATTATTAGTTTAAGTTAAAATAAGACGAAAATCAAAAATAAAAAACTTTTGATTCTGTTTTTTAATCAAATTAAAAACACAACAATTAAAAATCGACAAAAATAACCACAAGTATGAGCAAATTTTCTTAAAGGAACGGATATTTACTAATATTTACTTCACTTTATTTTATACGAAATATAAAAAATTCGATTCAAAGATTTTTCTTGTAGAATTCATAAAGTCTTTTCAATTATTTAACCTAATTAAACTCAAATCAAATCGATTAAACAAAGTAACAAACTTTAACTTCAAATACAGAACTTAAGATATCGTTTAAATTAAATTAAATAAAGTCTTCAATATATCATTAGTACTTCGTTACAAGTAATTTAATTTTTTCAGAAATAAATATATCTATAATTTTAATTTATTTTAAAATTTGAATAAATTCTATTAAGGTAGAAAAAATTTAAACCGTATATCGGATATTATTATATTATATAATTCCGAAGATAATTATTTTTAATTATTTATATTATAAAATTCCGAAGATAATTATTTTTAATTGATGAAAAGCTCATAAAAAACGTGAAACTTTGTTTTTTAAAACGTTTTTTTATTTATCTCAATACGAGTTTCGAGATATTGTCGTGAAAAGGAAATGATTTTTTTTCTTAATCATTTACTATCTGCGTCTTTGTCGCACACATTGACTTCTCACTGATTAGAAGCTTCATACAAGTTACAGATAAAATTTTTAGAATAACATGTGCATAAGAAAAAAATTAGATAATAGGATTTGCGAATTCATTTTTATAATATTTTTAGCTTCATGAATATTTAATATCTCGATTATTCAAAATATTCGAATGAAATAAGAAATGATTTCAATGGTTTTTTTTTCTATGATTTTTTGAATGACTTTTGATGCCAAAATTTGGAGCTTTTTTTTATTTTTTTACATGAAAAATCGAAGTTTTATTTGTATTCATTTTTTACAAGATTATTTTGCAAAAATAACCTATTATGGAGATGTAAAATATAAATATAAAAACTTAAATTTATTGAATTTCATATTTTTATAGTATAATATATAATATGAATAATAATAAATATGTGCACGAAGTCTTTATAAATATTATTTTAATACTTTATATTATTGATTGCACATAAATCATAAAAAAGACAAGAATATAATATCGAAGGTTAGTTACTGTTTTGTGTGTTATTGGATTTGAAAATCATTATATTTTGCATTGTTTGAGCTGTTTTACATTCATTCACAAAGAAAAGTTTACTCGCGTTTATATTATAGCTATAAAGTTATAAAGATTTGGCTATAAAAGAAGGCGAAAATGAAATTTTTTGATTTTTGTTGTATCTTGGCTTGTAAAATCATTTTTTAAATACTAAATTTTTAAATACTTATAATTATATATAAAATAAATATTATTTAATAATAAATCTTTAATAACAATATGTCTTTTTAAAATTTAATTGAAAACTTAAGATTAATATTAATATTAATATTAATATTAATATTAAATAAAATCTAAAATAAAATGATATATTTATTAAAATAAATATTATGATATTATAATATTATAATATTAATATTAATATTGATATTTCATTATAAGAGAATTTATGAAATAGATATAAAAAAAAATATTTATAAGAATTTAAATTAATAATGTGGATTATAAAAAGAAGCGTAACGTAAAATTAAAAACATTGATTTAATTTCTGCTAAATTAACCATATTTTACATTAAATCATCCTCTATATTAATAGTTATTAATACACGTACCATTCTGATTAACATCCTGATGTTTGTCCAGTGAAAATGTGACATGTTGTTTTTTAAATCGATTTCTCCCCTCCACACTGATAAGTAAAAAAATTCTACGCTCTTCTGAAACCATAAAAAAAAAATCTTTAAAAAATGATTTTTATTCTCATATTGATTTATTTTTTTAACAATAAATAAATAAAATAAATCATATATATATATTGATAATTTGATTACTCATTATGTTCAAAGATGATCACTTTTTGAAAATTAAATTTTTAGAGAAACAATAAATTTTCTTGTAAAATTAAAAATATTATTATCAGCTTTTTTTTTAAAAATATTAATAGTTATAATGATTATGATTAAATAAATCATTTTGGCACTGAAATATCAATATATATATATTATCGATTTAAGTGAAACCAAAAAAAAAAAAAATTGTATTAAGATTAAAATTTGTTAATAATTAAAAAGAAATTTGCTTTTAATTTTCTATACTTACTAATGTATAGAAAATACTTTCATAAAATTGTTGACATGTTATAAGAATTTTAAAATTTAAATATATTTTTTCTTTTTAATTCTTATTTTTATTATATTAATTATAATTTTATTTTTCTTAATTTTATATTATAAATTTATTAATATTTTAGAATAAATATGTGAAATTATGTTTATATATAAACGAAATTATATAAATTAAGTACTTGCAAAATGATAATTTTCTTTAATCAAATAAATATTTTTCAAATTTTTTCATTCAAAAATTTTATTTTTATATAATATAAATATTATTTGCTATAAAAAGTACATTACTATTAAATTATAATACTATAAAATTGTAATAATAAATTACAGTAATTTCCGTAAATTATGATAATTTCAAATGACATTGTAACATTTTAAAAAATTTATTAATTCAAATTCCAAGAAATTTTAATTATTTTGTTGGATGGTAATTTTAACTTGTGAGAAGTACGAATAACAAAAAAAAAATTTTACTCGTATGTTTCATTCCGCCTTATTATCTATCAATGCAAAACGATTATTTTTTGCAATGTTTTCAAGTTTTTTTGTTATGAGCAAAGTATTTATATCTCTTTAAAAATTGTATTAGTTTTACGAAAGTTTGATCATTTATTCCAGTATTATATGAATTTCAATGATTTTATATCTGATATTTAAAATTTCTATTTTTCCGATTTACAAACATTTCCTAATAATACAAATTGTCGATAAAAATGTACATCAAAAATGTTTTAATTTTTTTTAATGTTCATAAATGTTTTTTAAGAATTAAGATATGATAATAAAGAAATGTTGGAATATTGAACAAAGTTTATTAATATTGCATTTATTAAAAACGAAAGACTATCTTTTGTCTACAAATTAATAATTAATGTTTTTAAAACATTTCATAAATGTTTTTAAATTCGTATTATTTATTGTTCATTTTTAAAAAAGTTTCAAATAAATATTTACAAAAATAATATATTTACAAATATTTACAAATGTATAATATATCTTTATTCCAAATAATCTTAATTTTTTAGTTTTCTTCATTTTAACATTTTCTCCTTGAAAAATATTTCATTGATATTTACCTTATATAATTTTCATTATATAATAATATAATACAATAATACAATAATAATATCAATACAGATATTAAAATCTCAAATAATAAATGAGAAGAAAATTTATGATCTAATTATTATGATGAAAACTTGGGAATCATCAATTTTATAATAAAAGTTGAACGTTTCCAAGGAATAAAACTTTGTTCCATAATCTGTATCAACATTTGATTTAATTAATGTTAAAATCTTCCTCAAGATTTGATTTTATGTCAAATTCATTCGATTATTCAGAAGTAATTGCTCTAATCTCAATAACTTTCTAATTTCGTATCTGCAAGTCTAGACCATTTAACATTTCCTGATTTTATCGTTTTATGTATACTCATCTCATATCTTTTATCCTTGTCCTATATATCTCGAATTTCGTATCAGATTTATTCAAGATTATCCAAGAAAATCATTAAAATTTTTATTCAATTAATTATTCAAGTAAAATTTTTATTTTATTTTTCATTTGCTTTATTATATATCAAATAATGTTATTTGAATAATATTGTATTTGAAGGGCTGAAAATCATAATGATAGAAGTCATATGGAAATTATTTTGAGAATTATTATTTAAGAAAATTATATTAGAAAAAATATATTATTTAAAAAAAGAATAGTTTTCTTCATTATATTCTTTAATTTCAATATTGGATTAATTTTAATTTGAGATATAATTCAGAATTTTAATATACTGAAATAAAATAATGTAAAATTCAATAGCATAATTTTATTTTCTATTAGTTAAACTTACATCATTATAATTTTCAATTGAAAAAAACAATTATTTTTTTTTGATGATTCTGATTTTTTTTTGATATTATATCTGAGTTTAAATATTTTTCTCTTTGCATTTTTTGAGATAAAATTTTATGAATTTTATGAATTTTTTTACAAAAATTTTTTTATTTTATTTTCTATTCTTATTGAAATAATTAAATATATAATAAATAAATCATTTAATAATAATTATATTTATTTCTTACATGAAATTTTGAAATTAACAAAATTCTTTATAAATATATTATTTTAAATAAAAGTATAATATAATAATTTTGAGATATCATTTCTTTCTAAATATTTTTCATTTTTTCTGATAATAAGTAATTAATGAATAGAAATGAAGTATAATTTTAAAGATTTTTAATTTTGAAGTAATTTCAAAATTTACATATTTTAACTTAATCTAATTTAATTAGTAGCTAATTAATTAATATTTTCATTTTTATACATCAAAGACTATCAGAAAATATAAAAAGAATTTAAAAAAGAATTAAAAAAAAAATGATGTTTCAAAATGAAATTCAGCTTAAATATAATTATATATCATATATATCATTTATTTTTTTTAAAATAATTATTTGTTTTTGTTATTTTTTGTTTCAAATAAAAATTTCAATCTTGAATTTATCTATAAATTTTCTTTAATCTAATTTTTGATTATGTGTCAAATTCATTTCTATCCTTTAATGATACATCGATTTAATGATACATTTTCGCAAATGGTTCTTTCATGAATTTTCAACCTCTTTGACTTTTTTGATTTTGCATGAGATTCATTAGCATTTCGTTCATTCTCAGAAGATTCTTAATTCCACATCAAATTCGTTTGCATTTAACTAATACATTGAAAATAGCTTTTGAAATATGCATTTTTCACTAGACTCTACATTTTTGCAAACTTGACATACAATAGTATTAATTTTTTTTTGTTCATTGCAAGATATAAAATCTAAAATTTTATATACATGAATATACATAAGTATTAAGTTGTACCACAAAAAATTGCCGTTTCTGTTGGTAAAAAGAAAAACAATATATTTTCAAAACTATAATCTTTATCCAAGCAAAATACGAACCATTGGTTTTAATGACCTTTTCCCAACGAGATTCCAAGTGATATTTCCATTTTTATAAAATTTTATAAAATTCATTTTAATATGAAGAAATTCTTCGAATGCTGTGATTAACTTCTCGAGTGTCGAATATTTTATTTTTTAAAAACAACTAAATGGCGAAACAAGTGAGTATAGTGAGTATGGTGGATGGATTAAGATTTTAAATTTCAATTCAACTAATTTTTGTAGAATGGTTTATGATGGTTATGATTATGCGGTCGAGCATTGTCATGTAGAAGAATAAGTCCATATCTATTGATTAATACAGGCTGTTTCCTAATCAATTTTTGTATGATATCAATTTCTTAGCAATAGGATGCTGCTGTTATAATATTTTTTTGTTTCAGAAAAAAATAATGAATTAATTATCATCTTTACAGATCATTATCATTTTAGTCATCAAAACTTTTTTGGATCGTAATGATGGTTTCAGCATCCAATCATTATTCAGATCATGTACAATTATCATATAGCATTCATTTTTCATCACAAGTTATAATTCTATTCAAAAATGGATTTTTATTGTTTCGATATTTTTTTTTATAATATTACACTAAACAACTTTTCTCTGTTAGTTAATATGATACCCACTTTTCATTTTTTCACTTTAGTCGCTCAAATGAAAATTGTCATTGGAGATATATTTAATTCTGAATGTTTGTTTGTGGATTAGTTTCCATTTTGGCTTTCAATTTAATATGGATTTCGATCTATCTTGGGGCTCATTTTCAAAATTTTTATTTTTGAAAATTTTCAAAATTTTTGAAAATTTTTTATTAATAGAATCTTCGAAAGCTAACATAATATTTTGATATACTTCAGCTGCACTGTGATGTAATACAGGAATAATATTTTAAATTCATTTGGTAACACTATATTATTCATTTCTCAAAAAATAGTTAAATTAATATAAAAAATAATTTATTACGCAAAGAAATGTAAGAAGACAAAATATGCTAAGCAAAATATAGGTCAAGTAGAGTTTATAAGTCACAGTTGATTGTCATTTATTGTAAAATTGGCAATTTTATATGATACAACTTAATATTTACAGACAAACAAACTAAAATCAATATTATATATTATATGTTATTTTGCAAATAAAATTAATATCAGAAAAAAATTGCAACATATTTATTTAATGTATGTAAAATATGAAAAACATGTAATATATATTTGCATAAAAATGTTATAGCTTTTCTTTCTAATAGGATAGTTATGATTTGTACTATAAGAAAATAGATAAAGATCTAAAGACTAATTTATACAGCTTGTCTACGAAATTGTCTTACATAGTCTTTGATCAGTATAGTTTTTATAGTTTTTGAATATCATATTTATATTATTTATCATATTTCAAACTGTTCGTTTATTTTATTTTATTTTTTATTTTTCACATTTACAATTTGTCAAAAAATACAAATAAAACAAATAATGTAAATAAGCGAATAATGTAATTAATTTTAACTTCTTTCATTATTAGTAGAATTATGCTTATTAGCATTTATTAATTAACATTTATTTAGTTTTTATTATTTTATATATTAATATTTTTCTACTATATAAA